GTTGTCATCGCTGCTTTCCGTCTCTTCCTTCTCCATGCCCAGCAGCCTCAGGGCATCCTTGTCATCATCCTCGTCCTTGTCCTGCTCCTGTCCCTGGTCCCGGGATCGTCGCACCCCGCGGGCCTCCTTGCCCATGGCGCTCAGGTCCATTTCACTCAGGCTCCTCCAGAAGTCCGGCCCATCCGCAGCCGCTGCCACGCTGCTGTCCACCAACATCGAGGTGGCCCTGGAGCGGTTCCGCTGAAGCTTGCGGGCTTGAGCATTAATGCCTGGACGTAACAGACCGCGGCATCAAGATGGCGATCTATTTATTGGCCAACGTACTATGTGACCCGTTCACTACTTCTTAATTTCTGCACAATAATACTGAACACAACAAACTACCATCACAAGGCACTCCCACTCCGCAATAATGGCAACACATGTGACAGATCGAAAAGAGGCCCAACCAGTGGGTACAAATTACTTTTCTCCAACCACAACAATGCAGTTGCAATCCCTTCAAAGCCCGGAGAATGAAATGAGCGGAGTATATTCCCGGATTTGCTCAAAGCCGCACGTCAGTTCATCCAAAAGATTTGTGGGACTTGAAGCCTGAACTTCCTGCGCGAGCAGGAAGCGCAGTGATAGCGGCGCAGTGAGAGCACTTATCATGTGGCGCTCAGTGGCTTTGGATGCCTCTGGGCCATAAACAAAGATAAGGACAGCTTTGGTCTCCCGTGGCCGCCTTCCATGAGTGGCGCAGATACAGAGGAGGACAAAGGCCCAAGCCATAAAGGGCTGACTTTGCGTCCCCCCTAAATCTTTCCAGTGGGACACGGACACCACTGATGGAAGAGTAACAAATACCGGATGCCAGTAAACTGATTTTTGGGCAAAATTGCAAACTCCCCCTTTCTTAAGATGAAATAAAAGGCTCAGACGGCTTTCCGCCGCCACATCCGCTGCCGTTGAGCGCACGGGGGTCTCCCGATATACCTGCCGTGACGGTGTCCCGCTCCTTCAGGCTCTGCTCCTCTACTCGGAGCCTCAGCTGGATTTCGAAGCGGCGCGAGAATCCTTCTTTGGGTTTCCACAACGACTGCAGCACCAGCGGCTTCTCGTGGTCGCCCACCACGCGGAAACATTCCCGCCGCCACTGGCCGCCCGTGCCTGTCTGGCCGATCACGTCGCACAGCACGTAGGCGCCGGCGTCCGCTCTCTCCAGACTGTACCTGAACGAGGACAAACGCCGTCAATGCCACGTAACACCTCTGAGAATCTACTCACAAAAATATAATTTGCCAGTGAAATCGATCATTTTCTCTTTCTTTCCAAAAAAGGCAAATGACATGAGTCCAGCTTGGCACTTGTGTTTTCCCCCTTTATGCGATATATATTTTTCATGATAAAGCCTGCAACCAAAAACTATTGATTTTTTTTGATTCATCGAATTATTAACATTTTGATTTTCATCCCTTTATTGAAAAACAGGAAATTATTTCAAATTGACAGTGGAGAAAATTCCCACAGCTAAATTGATGATGATGATTCAGTTACTGGTTTGGTCGGTTACTTGTCATAAAATTGGCAAAATTACTCTGAACACACTTTTTTGGAGTGGGTGAAAGAGAGTGTCTACTCTTTCTTTGCTCGCTTAGCTGCTGTCACTGAAGACAAGATTTTATGTGTCTTGAAAAATCTGCCAAAACGGTTTCCAGTCAATGTGTTTTCAAAGATAAGATCCGCTTCTCGCATCTCAGCATCTGATTGAAAATGTTGTTCTTGTGTGATTCTGACCTGCCCAGAGCTTCTTTGAGGAGCTCCTTGGCGCTGGACTGCGTGGTGGCCAAGACGCTCTTGTAGTGGGCGCCCTGGCAAATGTCGCTGCCGAAGATCTTGAGGATGCCAGGCACCGACAGCTGGCAGGACAGCTCGGCCGGGTCGTCTTGCGGTGTGGCTGAGGCCGAGCCGCTGTCACTTCGGTGGAGGTTGGGGCTGTGGTTGAACAAGCCCGACAGACGCTTGTTGTTGTTGTTGTTGTTGTGGCGCCGGATTTTGGACTTGGCCGGCTGCCGGACGCCTGAACTCTCGGCCGAACGGCCCGTGCCTGTTGAACTGTTGGACATGGAGCGCACAAGATAACGAATCTGAACAAAAAATATACCTCTTAACCATGTACTGTAAATCCCGACTGAATCTGTCAGCAACTTTGGCCTCCCCAAAAGGTTCATAATGCTCCTAAACGAAGCTCCTCAACTCACAGTAACAGTGTTTTTACATTAAGAGACCCCAAGATGGCAAAAAAGCATTATTTTTTGTCTAAGTGAAGCTCTTCAGCTCACTTCAACGTAATTCCTTGGCGCAAAGATGTTACGTGGAGGCAGCCAAGCACATCCTGTTCTTTGTCCAGCTATCTAATCAATCTTTGAGATATCAAAGTGACTGTGATACAAAGCCAAACAAATGACATTTATAGCTCCAACCACTACTTGATTGTCGCAGTGATGAGGCAGCGCACTTCCCAAGCATGCTTTGGACCCTTTGAAAATATTTCGAAATCGTCGTTGCTCTTGATTCGGCTTGACTCAGACTTGATCTTAGTTTTACTGTTTTGTGCTTTCTACTGTCTTCATTATTAATTTATTTTTATTGTTGTATATATGATATTCGCGCCGTGTACAGCAGTTTGTATACAGCGATGGTTGTTTTAAAGTGCTCTATAAATACAGTTGAGTTGATTTGCTTTGTTGTAAGTCTGCCTTTGGTGATAGGCTGCCTTTGGTGATGATGCACAAAGGGACATATTAGATAAAAGGGCAGGACTACATTAATTTGATTAAACTTTGCCACAAAGCGAGGGAGTCAGTTTGCAGAGTGACTGGAGCTGAGTTGTGATGAGCAGCTCTTCAATGTACATCCAGTTCCCGTTCGGGGGAAAAAAGCCACTGAAGAGCCTCCGCTTGTCACATGATGTAATTAGAAAGTAGAGTACTGCGTAAATTAGTATAATTGTGAAGCAGTATGAGTTGTATGTACATAGAAAATGTAAATTGGAGAGCAGAGTAGAGGGTCATATAGTAGTAGAATGAGTAGCATACAAAGTAGAGTCCAGTCAGGTTGACATAATACATAGCATATATGAGTAAAATGCAGTGTAGCGTGGATACAGTTTAGTTGCACTAAGTGGGTCTTACTGTGTTGATCCATTGCTGGCTTTCCGGCCAAGTTGGGCGAGTCTCTTCTTGGGTGAGCGGATCAGCAAGCCCACCACGGCCGCCTGTTTATTGACGTGGCTGTTTCTCTCGTCGCTAATCATCTTCTTCCTCGAACATCAGCACACCAACTTCATCTCCATCATCATCATCACGTCCACATTTGAGGAGGAGGTCCAAAAGCACCCTTGCAACTTGCCCTCCATTTGGCGTCCATGAGAGCGGCTTGCAGCTTGTTAAGTTATTCCGTTAGCGAGCACAATTCCAGGACGTCTACTCGCCACAGAGGAGGTGCAAGAACCAAAGATGTTTGTGGGAGATGAGCAAGAGGAGGGGAAGGGCGTCCGTCCGTCGCTCGGTCGTTCGGGAATGCGTAAAGTTGGTGAACCTGCCGCTGTCCGCAGCCCACCGGAGTTCCCTCCACTCTGTGACTTCCCATCACGAGCACGCGCGAGGCGGGAAGAAGAAAGTGACGCGCGCGCGCGCGCACACAGCGGTTGGGTCAAGCCTGCCACTACCTTCAGTCCAATTACGTACTCTACCTCCCAGAACGCTATTTCGGCATCATTGAATCTACATTGCAGATGATTAATTCGGCAAACACTTATGCCGAATGTGCCACGGAATGTGGTTATTTGACAAAGTGGTTTTGAGTGTACGACTGTGGTCAACAAGGTGACAAGTTCAGAGGCCAGAAGAAGCGTGGATCCGACACTATTTGTCTCACAGTGACATCTAGTGGTCAACTTTTGTAACTGCCAAACATGCCAGGAAAGGCGACACAGTGCAGATGCAGGTTCGATTCCGGCTCCGGATGGATGGATGGACTGGACATTTTCATGTGTTGCATGCAAATTGTTTAGTGTGTGGAGTTATGACTAAATAGTACGGATTCAAAAACAACCGAGTTGTACTTACAGAACCTCTTGGATAAATTTAACGTCTGTTGTAGGTTATTGTCATAAAATATCATAAATACACCGATTGACTATTCATTTCCTTGATGATTCGATAGAGGAAATGTAGTCGTATGCCTAAACATAGGCTTAAGTTTCAAACTTTTCGCGTGCTGCTGATTGTCGACTTCAACGTTCTGCTTGAAACTTTGGAGGAACATACAAACGTGTACCGGTAGTGACTTCCGACGCTGAAGTTGTCTCGACAGTGGCGTTAACATAAAACTAAATTCTCCATTCGAGTTACAGAAGTTACCTATTTATATTTACCAGTCGGCTTGAGGAGGTAACGCGCCGCTGGTGTAGTGGTATCATGCAAGATTCCCATTCTTGCGACCCGGGTTCGATTCCCGGGCGGCGCACGCCTTTTGATTTTTACGCGCGGTCCGTTGTATGTTTTTTTGTGACTTCCTGTTTTGTTCCTTTTGTATTCATTGTTTGTTTCGCGCGACCCGTTGTATGTTTTTGGTGATTTATTGTTTTGCATGTTGCTTTTGTATTTATTATGTATATTTCCTTTTGAATGCAGACTGCAATAATTCTGTTTGACCATTACATAAATTCAAAACAAAACAGAGCATCTGGGATAGGTACGCCCGCGACCCACATGAGGGCACGCAGCTCCAATAATGGATGAATGGATCCAAGAAATTCAAAGAAATACGCATCCAAGAAATACACAAAATCAAAATGACCACATAAACTCCTATTCATTGCTTGTTAAGAGACAATTTTCCAGTACACACTTGTCAATCTGCATTATGTACTTTTTGGTGCGTTTACTACACACACCAAAATAAAATAATGTAACAATAACATCCATATTGACTCAGTCATTCATTCTTCCTTTATTGTCGTGTCATTTATTGGTGTTCAGGGTCATAATAAAATGTAGCAGCAACAACCTGCTCGTTCATTCAAAACTAAACATGGAAGAGATCTCTATTCAAAAGTGATGGACTGCTTTTGATCTTCCAACAAGCGTAAAAATCAGAAGTGACATCATCATGTGTGTGTTTTAAAGACGGTATGGCGAATGTGTGTGATGTGTATCCCAGTAACAGCTATGACAATAAAAATACTGAACTTCTGAACGCTTAAAAAGAACACTGGTCAGCAAATTTAAATTGATTTTTTAAAATCAGAGATGCAAGTTAACTTTTCGAGATGATCTTTTTCCACTGATTCAGAATTTGCCCTATTTTTTTCCCCGAGTGTATCAGGTTTTCAGAACAATAATATAATAAGTAATCCAGCATACCTACACAATATATAAAAATGAATTCATGAATTAAGAGTTAGGTTTAGCATCAGGAAATTTCTCTAAAATATCACACCTATTAATAGCAGCGCATGGTAAAATCCGTATTGTGAAAGCTTTTAGAGGTCAAACTTCAAAACCAAAAATAAAATGTCTCATAAACCTCATGTGCAAGAAAAATGTAAAGACATTGTTGAAACCAGTGTCAAAAATACGTTTTGGGACACATGAAGGCACCTTGGATTCAAAATTTGCAGTTGATCTGTGAACTGAAACCTTTGTGAAGCTCGACAAGGTGTCACCTGAAACAAATACACACAACATCAACATAAACAACAACAGCAAAAAAAAAAAGACAAACATCACAAAAACACACTCGAGGTGAAATGCTACCGTGAAGCTTGATTGACGTTGATGGACACTCATGTGCAGGCTGGTTTTGATGATGTCACAGGGCAGTGGGCACAGTCAGGGAATGCCCCACCTCCTCAGGAACTTTGCTGAAGGGGAAAAAAAAAAAAAAACTAGACAGCTTGAAACTTGTGTCTTGTTAGTTATTTAAGTAGTCTGATTACTTACGTCTGATTCCTCTGGAGTCCTGTTGTGGAGTCATGTGACTCCCATGTGTCAATCGTGTGTCAGTCGCTTGTCAGTGATGAGAGCGGTTGGTCGCCCTTGTCTGTCACCTGACGTGACGCCGCCCCACTCGCCAACTTTTCCTCTGACTCGTCACACGTTAACACTCGTGTCAGCACGAACACACACGAGCACCCATGATCTCATACAAACACATGCGCACAAATCACCCCGTGCACAAACAAGCGCACGTACATGCAAATAAACACAAATAAAAATCAACACACACACACACACACACACACACACACACACACACACACACACACACACACACACACACACACACAAGACAAATCAACGCACCGGTGTGTGTCCTTCATGCTGCTGTTGTTGGCATCTGCCCAAGGGATGTTGTGAACAACGTAGTGACAAGTTCTCCTCGTTTAGCACACAACCTGAACACACAGGCGCACGCGTTAAACACACCTTCATATGTAAAACACATACAGTTCAAACACTCAGATATTTAAAATGCGCACCCACAGTTATGTCCAACACACACACACACACACGTTCATACAGAAGGTTAAACACACTCACTCATGTCAAACAAACCTGCACACACACTTCAATACTACCTGCGGGTCGAGCACACGCGTAGTGGAAATATTCGGTGCATCCTTTGTGCGAACATCCCATAATAGCACCTGACTGATGACACCAGCAGCATATCTGACACAGGAAGTACTCATTAGGAGAGAATGATGTCATCCCAAGCAGTCAAAAGAGACCGAGAGGAAGCGGCATTCATCCGAACAATTTGCACGGGACAGACCGTGTGGCGCGCCAGTTGCTCCGCCTCCTGCAGGCCGTACAGGTTCCCTCGCACCAGGAACACTCTGCTGCTCCACACGCTGCAGTCCGAATGGACCCAGCGCTCGCCAGCGTCGTCATCGCAACAGTCTGGCAGCTTGGCGAGCGAGCCCGCCGCGGGTAGATACGGCCCATGAAGATCGCCCAGCCCGTTGGCGTTGGCCTGGCCGCCGCACAGGCAGCACAGTGGCGGCGCGGCGCCGGCACCGTTAAGTCGTCCCGGACGGAAACAGGAAGCCTTGGGGATGATTCCAGAAGAAAGGGGGGCGATGCTTTGTTTTTGGTGTGGGACGTCCTGTTGCTCCTGCTGGTTAACCACCATCACATCATTACGCTGCGAGCTGGCACGCCAGCGAACTCGCACAAACGGACAAAAGTTGTCTGACGTCTTCTTCTTCTTCTTGGCTGGTTTTTGCTCGACGGTGCACCTTAACTTGATTTCAGGCTCCGGTGGCGAGAAAAGAGACGACGGTGGAAACCACGCTCTACGATTACGCCGTCGTCTCTTCACAGATTTTTTAGCAACCGCCGATGGCTTTCGTTGAGTTGAACCTCTGCCAGCGTCTGCTGATTTGTTGGTGGCGCGGCGCCGATGAGAGTTGTCTGATTTGCTCGCGGCACGACATCTGTGAGCATTATCAGGATTGTTTGTGGGGTGGCGTTGATCAGCATCATCCGATTCGCTTGTGTGATGTTGTTGAGCCTTGCCAGATTTGTTGGAGGCGCGGCGCTGCTGAGAGTTGCCTATTTTTTGGGTGGAATGATGTTGGGGAACATTTTTTCTGGCTTTGTGGAGTTGGCGAGCATCATCAGCTTTGCTGGAATGGTATTGCCGAACCTTGCCGGATTTGTCGGCGGCACGGCTTTGGCGAGAGCTGTTTGATTTGTTAACAACATGATGGTGATTATTATCAGTTTCTGGAGCTTCTTCAGTTTTCCCCATCGAAGCGAGGCGTTGAAGATCATCATGAGATTGGTTGACCGTGCAGCGTTGGTGAGAGTCGTTGGACTCACTGGCAGTGTGGCATTGCTGAGCATCGTCGTCGCTCTCCAGCGCATATCCCAAGGCGTCGTCAGAGTCACAGCTTTCGTAATAAACACCCATCGCGTCTTTCTTTACACTTCTAGCAAGATGGCACCGCACTGGCCGGGGCGACGACGAGGGCACCTGCTCAAGGTGTGCCCTTATTCTGACGCTGCGCTTGCATTCAATGGCGGCAGATTTTTCATGAATTTTATTTTGGGGAAATATCGGTCTCTTTGGGGTGGTTTGGGTGACAGGGACTTCTACGACGTCGCTGTCGTCACTCAACGTGTCAGCGCGGGAGTCCACGGTGCCGGCGTAGTCGATGCTAAGGTCCGCAAGGAGGACAACGGGTCTCGCGTGATGCGGCGGAATGTCCGCCGAGCTTTCTGATTCCTCCTCCACTTCCTCTTCTTCTGATGACGAGCTATCGCTACTCTGCGAGCTGAGAGTTTGCTGGCAGCATTCCGGTGAGGATGGCGCGGGCGACAGCGGCTCCACAATGTGCCGCACGCCATCGGCCAAAAAGGAGGCGCAGAGAAGTGGCTCCTTGGCGGCCGCCAGCAGAACGATGACGTCCGAGCCGCTGTCGCTGTCGTCCTCGCAGCTGGCATCCGTCTGGTAGAAGGCGGGACACCACGGGTCATCATCACGGTACATACCCGGCGGGAGCGTGGCGTTCACATATTTCGGCTCCACGCCGCTATCCCCATCATAGCTTCTGGTTCCGTATGAGGAGTCGACGCGTGAGCGGGCCTGGTACCACTCAGGCTTGGCGGCGAGATCCAAGGCAGGGGTGCACTGGTTTCGGGTTCGGGGTGGCGCAGAGAAGCCCTTGGATAGGTCCACCGCCATGCCGGAAGGTTCAGACGGAACCGCCTCCATCACTGAAACACAAGTTTGATACGGTGGTCATTCATGTAGACAATAACCGCGTCAATAGACTGTGATTTTATTGATAAAAAAAATAGCATGTTGGTAGCATAATAATAATATTGAATGAGTGAAGTGCAGTTTGTTACCACTGGCGGTGGGGAGGTTGCGGGGGGGTCCTGGGCGAGGCTCTCCGCGCTCACGAAGCTCTTCCGCCGGCTTTAGCAGGCCGAGTCGGCAGCACACACCGTGCTAGCTGCTTTGCATGCTAACTATCCAGACCGCTTGCGTTAGCACGCACACGTCGTCAACGTTTTTGTCGATGTGGCAGGCATAATGTACGCGGATAATATTAATAAAATATTAATCATTCGGTGTTGAACCGTTTTTAGCTCTAAGATGCTGTTGATGTTGTTGTGACGACAACTGTCATATTTGACAAGTCAAGCATAATTCAAACACATGCAACAACCCCGGAAAACGGAGTGTTGTTTTCAAAGTAAGAGTGACGAAACAACAAAGCGGTTGACGATTGCGTTTTAACCACAAAAACATTTTATCATTGAAGGTAGTTTTACTACCATAACTCTAAAATATTTTGTGTTCCATCCATTTTCGGCATTGCTTCTTCTGAGTGTATTCCAGGTCTCTATGTAATCATTCATTTTTTGTGGCTCGAGGTCCATTACAAGGACACCTGCCAGGTCTAGCCAAGCATATATGAAGGTGCAGACACAAATTTTGAGGGGGCATTGTGCTCCAGCACCTTTTACGATGTGTAACTGACAAATTCACTCACTCAGGTGCAGCCACGTCCAAGGAGAACAGGCTACTTGAAGAACTTGCTCATATGGTTTTGGTTGTGTGGCTCAGTGTAGGAGTGGTTAGCACGTCGGTCTCACAGTGCAGAGATGCAGGGTTCGATTCCAGCTCCTTCCTGTGTGGATTAAATATCCTTTTCTGTACCACTTATTCCATTTTTTTAATGAAGCTTTTGTTTTGAAACACCCACATGGATGTTGCCTGTCCGCCCCCCCCTCCACACACACACACACACACACACACACACACACACACACACACACACACACACACACACACACACACACTTCAACTTGACAGTCATCTCAGCATGCTTTTTATCTCATTGACTCAACAAAACAAGATCACTTTTTTGTCTTTATTGTGAGTGAAGGAAATATTAAAACAGTCCATTCAAATAAATAATGAATATGAACATTTCTGATATGTTCAAGTCATTTTTCAAACAGAAATGACAGAATAATTAACACCAGCAATATTTACAACACCACGGACAAAATGTACGAAACAACACGACGGACTTTTAAGAGTTGCCTGAGAAGAATTGAGAAATACAGAAATAAATTATGTGCTACATGAGGAACAAGTGGCGGGGCTTCAACACACTTTCCTGCGACTTCATGTGCCATCATTCGTCGCTCCAGTAAACTCTGACCTGCTGCGCGGCCAACAGTTTGTCATGCAGGGCGGCGACCTGTCGCCTCATGCTTTGAAGCTCGCTCTCCTTCACACGCAGCAGCAGCTGAAAGGACACCTTCATTTACTCATTCCTTACTTCCCAAGTAAGATTTTTTTTTTTCTACAGTGGACCTAGATAGTTCCGAAACTGAAAAGGTCTTCTCGAATCAATATAATGGAATTTATGGAGTGGACCTAAATAGTTCCCTACATTTTCCCGAAAATGCCTTTACAGTATAATAATGCATTGTGGGATTCATTTACTCACTATGTAGGTCACTATATAATTGGTAGGGAGTGCCACGAAGTCCGCTCACCTCCATCTTGTAAACGTTGGCGTCCTGATTTAAAGGAAGTACTTCCTGTTTGGTCAGTTGACTGACCTCGGCCGCCAGGTGAGTGCTCAGCTCCTGTGATACAACGACAGAAAATTGACACCATAAATTCATGCTCTTCCTGTGAATAATTGGCAATATAATTGCATATAGAATGGCACACGATGGCAGCAAAGCAGTAAAACTTCGAGGATCATAATGCTTCACCAGCATGCACCTGGCATAAGGCTGCGCAATAGGTCCAATTTTGAACCTGACTATACTGTCACGATGGAATTAACCTGATCCAAGAAGCCGTCTTATAGCGTCTTCCACGTGTTCTGACCTGGTTTTGTTCCATCAGATCCTGGTTCTCCTGCTGCCGCTGGCTGAGCGTTTTCCTCTGGTCTTCCAATTCCTGAGTCATGTGACCAATCTCAACACACTTGAGCGTGAACCGATAGGACAGATCCTCGAGTTCCCGCTGACAGGACGCCAGCTCTTCACTGCAAGCATGCGAACACACACGTCGATGCGCTACATGCTAACGAGCTGCGGTTGACTTCTACCTGTGTAGTTTGTAGACTTCCTCCATGAGCGTGTTTCCCGTCACGTTGAGCGTTTGACATCTCCTCTGCACTTCCTTGTCCAGCTCCACACGGTGAGCGCGCTCGATTGCCTCGATGGCTGACCCCGACGCACAGGAAGTTGAACACGGAGCAAGCTGATTACTCATCAGTGACAAATCCGATTGACCAGTAGGTGTGGGTGATATGGTCTTGAAATACAACTCACCGGTTGCCGTAGCGACCGCCTCCTCGTTCAGCATCCTGTCTCTCTCAGCCAGGAGGCAGTCAACTTCCTTGAGGTGTCGCTGCTGCAGCTCCTCTGTCGCCTTCACGTGACAAGCCTCCATGGCGGCCAGTCCACGCTCGCACTCCGCCTGATGCCCCGCCCCCCCAAAAATATAACTTATACACGTCTTCATAAACACTGAAGACCATTTTGAGTGAACATTTTTTCAAGCTTCTTGATGATGTTTCACGGCCCCTACCTTCAAGTTCTGCACCTCGTCGTCATGTTGTTTCTCATCCGAGCGCAGTTTTTGTCTCGTGATTGACAGCTGCTCCTCCAGATCCGTCACGCGACCCGTCAGCGCGGCCACTTGACTCGCCTCACGGCATCTCGTCACTTCCTGACCTTCCTCTTGCGTTTCTTGTTGCGTCTGGCTGCCGGTGTCGACGCTGGCCGTTCGCTTCTCGGCGTGGGAAAGTTGCCTTCGCAGTTGTGCGTTTTCTTCCAGCAGGCGGTCGCACTTGCTGGTCATATGACAGCAGAAGGCCGCCTCGGTGGAGAAAATGAAGGTGGCGCGTAAACGCTCGGCCGTCATCCCGAGTTTGTCCCGCGTATCGGAGGACGCCACATTGATCCAGGACGAGAAGATCTGGACGATCATCCCCAAAAATTCCACACCGCTGTCATCCGCCGCATTGGGATGCCCGGCATTGTCCGTCATCCTGCCGCTTTCTGACGATTTGCCACGTTGGGCATTCCCGAGAATATCCTGAATATTTACTTTCTTGTCTAAACTGGTGGGGCTATTATCTCCCGTGAGAAGGTCCCGCCCCAACATCAAGATTTGATTTTCAGGAATCATCTGTGGTGTCGTGTCACTGAGAAGCTGCTCATCTTGTTCTTGTGGGTGGGAAGCATTGGCGTTGACGCCGTCCAACAGCGCACTCCAAAGCTCCTCCAGTTTCAGCTGACAGGAAGCGACCGGATGCCGCGCTTCCTCTTCGTTTGCAATCTTGCTCTTTCTCGCCTCCAGTCTGTCAACAACCTCCAAGAACCTGTCCAGAACCTTCCACCTGAGCATGCTCCACTCCAGCATTTGGTGCGTTCTTCCGTCCGCAGGAGCGGGCGTCGGGAAGTCGGCCTTTTTTTGTCCGTGAAGCTTCCCGGCATCCTTTAGGACTTCGTTCTCCGCCCGGAGCTGCCTGCAGCTGAGCTCCGATTGGCGAAGCTTCTTCTCCAGCTCCGTCAGCTTGGCCTCGGTAGCTTGGAAGCATCGTAATAGGAAGCCCTCAGCGTTGCCCGCGCTCGCCGCCTCATCCTTCGCCACGCTTGCCTCCTCGTCCTCCTCTTGGCGCCGCAGGTGGACCTCGGCGTCCCCCAGCCTGTCCTCTAAGGAGGTGATGAGGGTCTGTGCCTCCAGGAGCTGCTGGTCCTTCTCCAGAAGCTCCTGCTCTAGGTCCTTTATCTTTTTGGGAAGCGGTTCCGCACATCTGTGACCGAGCTCCTCCTTGAGACGTCGGATCTCGCGGTCGGCCTCGCTCAGCTGGTTGAGCATCTCCTGGTTGCGCTGGTTGAGGGCTTGCTTCTGGCCGCTCAGGATCTCCACTTCCTGGGAGAGCTTCCTGACATCCACCTGGTCACCGCCGGCCTCGGCCAGGGCGTCCAACACGGAGGACCGGCAGTCGCCTTCGGAGTCCGGACAAGGCGGGTCGTCCATCCCGGGAAGCTCACATTGGGCACACATGAAATCCTCCAAGTTGAGAGGTTCATTTTGAGCTTCACCGTCCGTCGGAAGGTCTGAGCTGTCCGATGCCGTGGAGGCCAAGTTCTCACACCAGGCGGGAACTAAATCATCGTCCGTTTCCCGCGTCCACTTTGCGGGCGAATCGCCGACGAGGCGCTGGGGATCCAAAATCCCGCTTCTTGCGATGACAACCGCCGGACTTTCACCCAGAGAGTGAACATCATCTCCAGATCTTTGCAAACATTCCGTCTTTGGGAAAGAAAAGAGAGAAGGAAATGTGACTTGATGTAGTCATTATGTTCAGTCGAGAAGATGAATGTCGATATTTACCGTTGCGGTCGCATAATACGAAGTCCATATGCTCAGGCGAGCTTCCAGCTCCCGTCTGCCGCGCTCCGACAATTCCAGCTGACACTTCAGATCCTCAAACTTCAAACACACAAACAACTAAGTTTCAAACTGGTCAGTAGCCACAGTAATGTCTTTTCTTCACTTCTCTGTACTTTGTAACGGTATGAGTTATTTAAATTTGTATGTCCATTAGATAGTAAGTGATTAGCTGATGAGTGAGTAATTAGTGAGATAAGTTCATTAGTAGGCTTGTTACTTTGTTAGTGAATTAGCTAGCAAATTAGTGAGCCCGTTTTTGGGTTAGCCGGTTAGCATTTTCAGTGAGTTGGCTACTTTGTGAGTGACTTGGTGAATAAACTAATGTTGTAAGTCAGTGAATTAGTAAGTTGTCAGTTAGCAGCAATTGACTTAGCCAATTGGTGGGTTTGGGAGTTAATATGTGATTTATTTTGTTACTTTGTTCGGGAATGAGGAGCTAGTGAGTGATTTGAATCAAATTAATTAGCAAATTGGTTGGTGAATTATTTAACGCATTAATCTGTGTCACTGAGTGAGTAAAGGTGCGAGTTAGTGAGTGAGTAACTCAGTGACTGAGGTTGTTGAGTGATTGAGTTGGTCCCTCAATGACTGAATGAATGAGTTAATGAGTTTGTTACTCTGTTAGTGAATGAATGTGAAGGAGTTAACCAGCATATTTGCCAGTTTCTGAGTTAATAGCCAAGTTTGTTAGTGTGTGAGTTAGTCGGTGAAGTTAATTAGTGAGTTGGATCATAAGTGAATGAATTACCATGTTACTTTGTTATTGAGCTAGCGGTACTGAACGAATGTTTGCCAGTTAGTGAGTCAACCAGTGAGTCAAGTTGGTCAGTTACTGAGTTAATGAGT